GCACTTGCTTTGAGGACATAGTATTATTTAAGATACATATCTGCCTTTTTGAAAGGAACGTGCGTTCGTATTTCTGATGCGTCTGATCAGCGCGCTGGAAATGGTATGGCATTGTCCCTGCAGATAAGCTTCCATTCATGAGAAACATAATAACTTTATTGGGCATTGATCACTGAGCAATGCTGGATAAAGTTAGCTCCAGTGTTAATGGGAGATTGCGTTTGTGGGTCTGGAAAGATGGCGGCTAGGAAAACATGCGGCTGTGCACACGGGTTTGTGCACACCGCTTCTACTATGATACAGAGATACACTCCCTTTTCTATTGTACATGTGTTTCATTGGCTATGTGATGTTGGTGTATTGAGGAAGTGATGTTGGTTGTTGACATAATTTCCTGTTTTGTCACTTCCTGTTTTGTCACATATAAAAATAAACAGATATACTGTGCTGGGGGCTCTTGGAACAGAATCTCCACAATGAAAGCATCACCTTGTCTTGACTCTACACGATTCAATGGAAGTACCTTCGGTCCTTGCACAAAAGAGCGTAATACACGTGCTTTTAAGCACGGGGAAATTCTTTGCGTTTGGCATACTTTGGTGCACTTTAGCGCAGCATGGATTTGTGCGTTTAACCCAAGCGAATTTCCATAACATCCCGGCATCCCTCTGCAAAATGTTTAACAAGTGGTAGACCCCGGCTAGGACGAGTCAGGCCACACAGAGAGCCTGTGGGCCGTATGTTGGGCACCAGGGTTATATAACAAAACACATTCTGGAACAATTGTTAAGAGGTAGAGAACATGAAATGATAGAGTCAGGACGTAATACAGCAAGGACACTAGGAGGCCAGACAATATACATACTTGATCCCTTCCATTCCAGAACCAGCAAAACGCAGCAACTGCTAAAACCTGGAATTCTCTCATGGAAATGATTCACCAGGAGGTAAGATGGCGATGGAGACTGGAATTCCATCATGAAAATTATTTACTACAGATACTGCTCCTGGGAAACGGTGCTCGGCAGAATAGCACACGTAACCACCAAAAGCTCCCAGGCTAACACTGGGGTGGTCAACCTGACAATTATATGGTGTGGCCCCCAACACTTTCAAAGGGCCACACAATAGCAGCTCGTCTTTGTGCATTGAAGTACACAGCATCAAGTTAGGTCGCTCATGCCAAATGAATTGGAGGTCTGATAATTTTGGTCCTGATGCATATTGAAGACAACGTGGGAGTCAAATGAGCCCCATTGGTGGTGACAGTAATAGTAACTTCATGCATTAGGGTGACACTAAACTCAGGAGATAAATCTTAAAAATACATTCAAGCACCTTAACGATTACCAAAAATGTATCTTATTTGTGTATCACTCGGCTGTAGAGTCTCAAATCATCTCTGAATTCATGCGGACACTGTCCTTCCTTCTGGAGGGGGGGATAGTCCTCAGGAGTGAGCTTGGAGCGGTGACTACATTACAACACACACAGGGACCATGGGGAACAATAGTAGCCACCCTCCAGAAGGAAGGACAGTGTCAGCACCAATTCAGAGATGATTTGAGGATCTACAGCCGAGTGATACACAAATAAGATACATTGTTTTTTTAATAGTTAAGGTACCTGAATGTATTTTTAAGATTTAAAAGGAGAACTATGAGGTGAGTGAAAATCACTCAGCCTCATAGTTCGAGCCGACGTGCGACAATTAAACTGTCACACATCGGCTCTATTGATCGGGAAGTGAACGAACACATACCATCGCTCACTCACTTCTCCATCATCTCCTTGCAGGGAGCCAAGACTGTCAGTCACAGCTCCCCAAAGGGGTCCCCCCTCCCCTCTCTGATCCTCCAGCACTGACTGGCAGAATGGACAGGGGAGGGGGCGGGTACAGCTGGCTCTGCCTCTAGATAGGCAGAGCCAGCTGTCACTCACGCAGCTGGGTGGATCTCGGCAGTAATGTCAGGATCTGCCCTGGTTGCGGGAGGTCTCGGTAAACTGCGAGCTGTAGCTCCCTATATACTGAGCTTTGGGTCACGGGAGGACGCTAGTTTATGTACTCCCGTGACCCTTAAGAGAACTATGTGGAAAAACACTGACCCCCATAGTTCTCTTTTAACTCCTCAGTTTAGTGTCACATTAAAATGTCAATGCAAGCAAAACAAATGGGAAACGCACTCATCGACTCATCACCAGAGTTAGAGCAAGGTGCACATGGAAGGGCTTTATACAGTATATACCATGCAGAAGACGTGTATCTAAAACCTCTGCTTTTAACCTTAGCGGTCAGACAGGTTTTTTTGCATCCTGGCTGGTGAGTGCTGGGAAACTTTTTGCTGTTGTACTGTTTAAATGTGAATGGACACAGTAATAAGTAGGGATGTACCGATACTAGCATCGGTGCCGATACCGCCCAAATGCTCTGATACTTACCTCTGATACCGGACCTTGTGGTCAGAGGGCGATCTCCCTCTGATCACAAGTGCAGGGGAAGCATGGAGCCGGCTTCCTTTCCAATCAGGAAGCCGGGCGGTAGGTTATGACCCGCCTCCCAGCTTCCTGTTTGGCTAGGAAGCCGGCTTCACTTGTTGCCTGGCTTCCTAACCAATCAGGAAGCCAGGTGGTTGTAATGACCTCCCTCCTGGCTTCCTGATCGGTCAGGAAGCCAGGCTGCCAAGGAACAAGTGACACCGGCTTTATAACCGAACAGGAAGCCGGGAGGCGGGTCCTGATGTGACGTCTGGCTCCCTGATTGGCTAGGAACCCGGCTTCACTTGTTACTAGGCAGCCTGGCTTCCTGACCTATCAGGAAGCCGGACGGCACCTCATTACTCACCTCCTGGCTTCCTGATTGGTCAGGAAGCCAGGCAGCCTCGGCAAGTGAAGCTGGTGTTCTTTTGCTAGAACACCATCTTCACAGGCAATCAGGAAGCCGGGCGGCGGATCATGACTTCCTTATAATCTGGGTACACGGCACCGGTGCTCGGTATCAGTGAGTACCGAAACAAAAAATATCGGTACTTGATACCGAAAAAACGGTATTGGTGCATCCCTTGTAAGAACCCCCCAGCATTGGTGTCAGTGACCCCAATATTAATCCCCAGCATTGGGGTCAGTGACCACCAACGTGAGATGGGGGTTACCTGCACTGCCACTGGCCACCAATGAAGGGGTATTATCGGGGTCAGGCACCCCAGTGTGGGGGTCAGTATATATCACATTTTCACTTCCTGGGTTTAGATCACGGTCACATTTGCTGAAATGAAAGTATGAAATAAAAGCTGTTCATACACTGAACATTATCATTTGATTTATTAGCCACATACAGTTTTATAATAGCATGGTATACGGTGGTTCTATAATAGCATGGTATACGGTGGTTCTATAATAGCATAGTATACGCTGGTTTTATAATAGCATAGTATACGCTGGTTTTATAATAGTATACGGTGGTTTTATAATAGTATACGCTGGTTTTATAATAGCATAGTATACGCTGGTTTTATAATAGTATACGGTGGTTTTATAATAGTATACGCTGGTTTTATAATAGTATACGGTGGTTTTATAATAGTATACGGTGGTTTTATAATAGTATACGGTGGTTTTATAATAGCATAGTATACGCTGGTTTTATAATAGCATAGTATACGCTGGTTTTATAATAGTATACGCTGGTTTTATAATAGTATACGCTGGTTTTATAATAGTATACGCTGGTTTTATAATAGTATACGCTGGTTTTATAATAGTATACGCTGGTTTTATAATAGTATACGGTGGTTTTATAATAGTATACGCTGGTTTTATAATAGCATAGTATACGCTGGTTTTATAATAGTATACGGTGGTTTTATAATAGTATACGCTGGTTTTATAATAGTATACGCTGGTTTTATAATAGTATACGGTGGTTTTATAATAGTATACGCTGGTTTTATAATAGCATAGTATACGCTGGTTTTATAATAGCATAGTATACGCTGGTTTTATAATAGCATAGTATACGCTGGTTTGAGACCCCATTCACACTGAGCGACATGGAAATTGCGCGACATTGAGCGACGTTGAGCGCGACTTCTTCCTATTGGGCTGTATGCAATCAGGAGCAATATCGCTCAAAATCGCTCTAAAAAAGGGTCATGTAGAAGCGACAAGCTACCAGCGATATTGAGCGACGAGATGTGAACAGCTACATTGAAATGTATTGGTGAAGCTACATAGAGCGATATAGCGCGGAAATATGAGCGATATCGCTACAAAAATTGCGCGATAAATCGCTCAATGTGAACGGGGCCTTATAATAGCATAGTATACGGTGGTTTTATAATAGCATAGTATACGGTGGTTTTATAATAGTATACGGTGGTTTTATAATAGTATACGGTGGTTCTATAATAGCATAGTATACGGTGGTTTTATAATAGCATAGTATACGGTGGTTCTATAATAGCATAGTATACGGTGGTTTTATAATAGTATACGCTGGTTTTATAATAGCATAGTATACGGTGGTTTTATAATAGTGTACGGTGGTTTTATAATAGCATAGTATACGGTGGTTCTATAATAGCATAGTATACGGTGGTTCTATAATAGCATAGTATACGGTGGTTCTATAATAGCATGGTATACGGTGGTTCTATAATAGTATACGGTGGTTCTATAATAGTATACGGTGGTTCTATAATAGTATACGGTGGTTCTATAATAGCATAGTATACGGTGGTTCTATAATAGCATAGTATACGGTGGTTCTATAATAGTATACGGTGGTTCTATAATAGCATAGTATACGGTGGTTCTATAATAGTATACGGTGGTTCTATAATAGCATAGTATACGGTGGTTTTATAATAGTATACGGTGGTTCTATAATAGTATACGGTGGTTCTATAATAGCATAGTATACGGTGGTTCTATAATAGCATAGTATACGGTGGTTTTATAATAGTATACAGTGGATTTATAATATTGGCGCGGTGCGCTCTCACCTGCATTGTTGATAATGAGGACCCTTTGTGCCGTGTCCCCTCCGTTCAGCTCCTGCGCGCCTTGCACCGCCCTCCTCACCCCGTCCTCTGTGCCCAGATCTGCTGCCACCCATCTCACTCTGATCTCTGGGTACTGGAGTGTCAGCTCCTCCGCCAACACGCGCAGCGCCTGCTCTGTGCGGGCCACCAGCAGTAGGGCAGAGCCTGGCATCACTCTGGGGCACAGCTCCCATGCCAGGCTCCTGCCAAGCCCCCGGGAGGCTCCTGTGATAACACACACCACAGTGCCCAGGCTGCAGCTCGGCTCCCCATCCATCTCCTGCCGAGTATAAAGTACACGCACTGCCTGCAATCCTCCTCTGCTCCCTATACAACCCCTCCTGCTCCTTTTTTTTTTAACAATCTTTATTAGCAATGAAAGCAGACAAACAATACCGTGCAAATGGAAACCACCTGGCGGACTGGTTTCCGGATTAACCCATTCCTGATCAGAATACATAGAGTCATATGCAGGGCTGGAATCAGGGGCGTGACTACCAATCATGGGGCCCTGTTGAAAAATGTAGACAGGGGCCCTCTGGCTTACTCTCCCTGTGGCAGCTGGCAGTGTCAACTGTGACAATAATGTGTCATTGACTTTCATATAAAGTATGAATAAATCAAGGACAGGCAGCTGGAGAGCTTTCAGCATAGTCAGTACATTACTAGGGAGCAGTGCCGGGGGTAAACGTTATACTAGCATAATGACAACAACAGTAATAATAATAATAATAATGATAAAAAGAATCATAACAGCACTAATAATAATAGTAATCATAACAACAACGGCAAGAACAAAATAATAATCACATAAATAGTAATAACACTAATAATAATAGTAATAATAACAATAATAATATAAAATTGACAACAACAAC